GATAATACATATGAGACTGTCATGATAATTACACAGTCATCTCATGTGGAACTCTTTTTGGAGTGTTTCATGTATAAAGTAGAGAGAAAAATCATCTTTCAGTCTAAACCTGTTGGGTGTATGAGACTCAGGGCCAGGTAGAAGAATGGGACTATCACAGTCCAGGTCTCTGAAGGAAGGTACACATGGGCCCAGTGAGGTACAGGAAGAAAAAACATTACAATTTCTCCTCAGGTTTTCTATCTCATCCTTTTGAATTTCTGTGTAAGTTTGATAACATACATATCTATTAATATATAGTAATACATGTGTGTAAGTTAACGATATAAATGTTTTAACTGGCAAGGGCACACAATCAAAAAAGTTTGGAAACCACTGAGCCTGAATGTAAGGAAATACATCAATCAAAGACTTTTTGATATTTGAGAAGTGTCTTGTCATCTGTATATGAGCAATTTGCAAGAACATTCCAACAGACTATTATTTTTCCTTAGCTAACCTTTTCTTGGGGAGCTCTGGTAGTGTAGTGCCTAAGGCACTTGACTGCTAACCAGAAGGCTGGTGGTTCAAACCCACCAGCCACTCCTCGGAAGGAAGGTTGGGCAATCTACTTCCGTAGTGATACTGCCTTGGAAACCCAAGGAGGGGTCGCTATGAGTCGGGTCCGACTTGATGGCACATAACAACGTCAACAACAACCTTTTCCTGAGCTCTCCTTGATTACTTATTACCTGGAGGTCATACACAGCCTGAAAGAGCCAACCAATGAGCAGTTGTGATGCTCACCATGCTCTTAGATTCACAATGTTTCTTAGTGTAGATAGCATATAAATGAGACAATAAAGAATATTTCCAACTTTCACCGTGCCAGGTATGACACAGCCAGAAATCACCCTAGTTGGCATAGAATACAAGCTAATTCACCAGTAACTTAATTGTAATCCTCAAATCTATTAAGCAATCAAATTTTATACAGAAAGGGGAATTTTATATATTTGCTTTGCTTTAATGAAATTGGAATTCAATAAGTATGCTATCTGACACGGGACTAATTTATGTATTATCAACATAAATATAATTGTGGGGGAGTTTATTCCAGAATAGCCCAGTTTTGCTGAAGAAATCAGGTACAAATTAACATTTTTTTTTCTGAATAAATCAAATACAAATGAAAAAAAAAAATTCTTTGTAGCAGTGATACACTTCCTCATTAGGAAACACAGAAGACTGCTGTATGTGTCCTGGGAGTTGAATGGGGTCCTCTATACTTGACCAACTTTTCAGTAACATCCATTCAAGTGACAAAAATGCTGGTTTTAGGCCAGTGCTCCAGTGGCTGAACTGGCACATTGAGAGAAAGTCGCAAGTGCTTGCTTCCTGCTCTAAGCAAGCCTCCAGGGTGAGCCTCTTCTGAAAGAAGAAAAGCCAAGGTTTTAAAAAACGAAGCCAGAAGAGAAGTGAGAAGGAGACTAAGAGGAAGAGGGCAAAGAGAAGAAAATAAAGGTGCTTTCATATTTTCAGTTGCAACAGTAACTCGAATTGACTTAATTGCTATTCATCTGAGAAAAATCAAGGAAACCAATTGAAAAACATAAAAGAAAATAAAGGTCTGTTTTTGTCTTGAATGTTGAGTTCTGTGTTGTGTTTGGACTGTGGAGCACAGTGAATCAGATTTATAATGTGACTGCCCCTAACCCCCTCCTTTGAAAATGAAAGGACTCTTTGTCTAGTCTTAAAATGTTGAGTAACTGGTGGCATTTTGTGGTAGCCTGGCATCTCAACTCCTCATCCTTAACTCATTCCACCACTGTGTCTTGTGCAGTGTTACCTATGTGTCTGATGTGTAAGAGACGCGAGTCTACTTATCTCTGATAGAAGCCATGTTCTTCCATTACTATACTTGGAAATGTTTCTTCTGTGTTTGTCTCATTGTAATTCCTTGTTCAGATGTGCTGCCCTGAGATAAATCCATACTCAATTCTTCTTACAGCTGTCTAACCAGATAATTATGTTGACTTTTGGTTGAAGGCTTTTCCCCCTTAACAGCAAGAAAGAAAAGCGGGGGCGGGGGGAGAGAAGATTTCCATTTCTATTAATAGCTATGTATGTCGGTTTTTACACGAAATCTTTACTTACCCTTCTTAAAAGTAAAACTACACTAAAATTTTTCAATAGTTGATCATCTGTCCCATTACTCTACAAACTTTAAGACTTGGGGAAAAGGAAAACTGGGTCAAATTTTTTAAAAAGCAAAATATATGTATGGAGAAAGGAGATCTTAAAATACAATTTTATTCTGTAAAAAGACTTCTGCCTCCCTTGAATCATACAGCTATAATCTGAATCCCTTTTTCCTTCACCTTCCTTCTAAAACTGAAAAAGTTATAATACATTAGGCCATCTGGTACCTTAACTACCATAATTCACATCTCTTAGGCCTCCCATTTCTGTCCTGCCCTCTGCTCTCTGAAATTACGTGTAGCTTTCAATGCAGTCTTGCTGTGAGGCTGTGACGGTTACTAAATAATTTCCTGGGGTCCTTTCCCTGGCCCATAATTTTATGAAATGGAATTTATGCTGTTCAAATGTGTCCTTGGTTTTACAATTCCATTTCGTTATTCTGGTTAACATAATTTTGTCCCTTCTTCACTCCAAACCATTCCTCTCTGTCTTGCTTCAATCTTGCTCTTAACCCACAAAGCAGTTCCTCCTTATTACATACAATCTTCCATCCACCCCTTCCCTCAAATCCTGTAGGTGTTAAAAACATTCAAGAATGAGCCAGCAGAGAATTTAAAAACTGTTATTTAAGGGGATTTGAATTTCTGAATTTTTAGATTATAGTTCAAGGTTATGGTCTGGTTAGGAAGTTAAAACTCATTATAGAGGACTTAGCACACTCAGTGATAGTATGTGCTGATGACGATAAGGAATTTCTAGTGGAAGGAGTCAATAACTGTACTTACCATTAGTTGCTAACCTTGACAGCAGAGCCAAGAGTTGAATTTGGAATTTAAATGAAACTACTTTTTAATTCTAAAGGTGATCCCTTCCAGTTAAGGTACTGTATGTTAGTGAACATTTTTCAGGAAGTTTTAGGTACCCCCTTATATGCTGCATTTTAAAGACATTCCACATTAACACTGTTAAATAGACAGATCAAGTGATTACTGAAAAAATTGGCATTATAGAACACTTGTTAACACAAATCATACATTCTGCCAGTTGGACTGCCCAACCAGGATTCTAGCTCCACCACTCACTAGATGTGACCTTGAGCAAGGTACTTACGTACTGTAAGATAAAACAGATCTACACTTAGTATTCTTATGAGGATTACATGAGATAATGGATGTTAAACATTTAACCTACTGCCTGGCACATGTAAATGTCGACTACTATTATTACCAAAGGACCTCTGGTGGCATAGTCGATAAGGCATTTGGCTGCTAACCAGAAGGTCAGAGGTTCTAGCCCACCAGCTACTCTGCAGAAAGAGGACGGGGCGATCTACTTCCATGAAGATTTACAGCCTCAGAAACCCAATGGGGGTCACTATGAGTCGGATTTGACCCGATAGCAGTGAGTTCGGTTTATTATTACCAACTGTTGTGTGCTGTCAAGTTGATTCCCGACGCATAGCGACCCTGTAGTCCCATAAGGTTTCCAAAGCTGTAATCTTTACAGAAGCAGACTGCCAGGTCTTTTCTCCTGTGGAGCCACCAGTAGGTTTGAGCCACCAAGCTTTCAGTTAGCCATCAAACATGTAACCTTTGTGCCAGTAGGGCTCCTATTGTTGTTGTTATGTGCCCAACTCATAGCGACCCCTCCCTGGGTTTCTGAGGCAGTATCACTACGGAAGTAGATTGCCCAACCTTCCTTCCAAGGGCTCCTATTAGGGTTTTTAAATAAATAAATAACTGTCAGAAAGCCTAAAATTATCTCATGGACCATGGTGGAATGAAAAACATTCCATATTTGCTCCTTGGGCAACATAATTAGTATCTCTCAAATATGACACTTTAATTATCTGTTAAATGAAACATGCCATAGCCCTACACCAATCTACCACTCTAAGCAAAAGCCTAATTCATCTATGCTTATCCTTGTTGAAAAAGATAGGACATCATTGTTCAGGCAATTACAAAACAAGGTGGGAGTTTGATTTGTTGAGCTAGATGTAAGATCCTTTCCTGAACCAGTCTTCTTTTTTTGTTCTCAAAATTAATTAGAATATTTTCTTCCCAAGTTTTATAAATTCTTCGTAGCATCTTAGTGTGTGCCAGACATTTTCTTAAATTTGCATATCAGCCTATTACCATATGTCATTCAATTAAACCATTATTATTGCATCAATTATTATTGATGACAATTTATAATCTTTAGTATATTTACTGTGTGTCAGGCATTATTACTATGACAGTCGCATGAAGCCTAATATCCTCTATGACACACTGTTGGAAGATTTTTATAATCAAATAGGCTCCAATGAAAATGGAAAATAGAAAGTAAAGCCCAGCTCATTCAGTACTGCTTACCAGGAGAGCTCTATGAATCAGCCACTTCTATGCTTATCAGTATGATGACAAGGGGATTCATTAATGTTTTTCAATAATAAATTATGTGCAAGATTGTTTCCATGTTGTGTACCTTTTGTATTCTAATTCTTTGAACTAAATGGACTCATGACATGTACAGTGATTTGCTATCAAGAGAATATTCGGTTAGTCAAAGCATCCTATTATTTGACCGCTCTGAAACAATTGGCTGCCTGTAGCTAATTTTACCCAAAATAAGTAGCAGCTGTGGGGTTTTTTTTGTTTTGTTTTGTTTTGTTTTGTTTTTAATATAATAGAGTGTTTCCCAGTCTTTCATTATTCTGTTTCTCAGGTGGTTTTGTTTTTTGGCTTTTTTTTTTTTTTTTTTTTAGTAGATTTATGGAGTGCCAAATAACTGTTTATCACACGGGATTCACTTGTATCTTTTTTTGGACATTGCAGGTGAAAGTAGGGAAGAGAAGTTAGGAGATTCATTGCAAGATTTGTACAGGGCATTGGAGCAAGCCAGCCTGTCACCTCTAGGAGAACATCGCATTTCGACCAAGCTGGAGTACAAGCTGTCATTTATAAAAAGATGTAACGATCCTGTAATGAATGAAAAACTACACAGGCTGAGAATTCTCAAAAGCACTTTAAAGGTAAGAAAATAAAATGGCAGGAGAAATTCCTTGAAAGGATTCCTTCTTGAACTCAAAGGGATTACTAGATAATCTAGAGGAAGAAATACAAAGGGGAGAGGGGGGAGGGACGAAGTAAACAGGAAGCACCTAAACCAGGCCTGTGGCTATACTGTAATATGTAAAGAGGAAGTCATCTTAGCTTTGCATTCAGGTCCCAAGGTGCTGACTAAATATTATGTGACTTAGGTCTAGAGGAAAAAAGGATGTAATTAAATTTTTTTTTTCAAAAAAATGCAAACAAGGCTGAGGTTATTCCTCCATCTTTCGTTTTCCTAAGATAAACATACCGTGTGATATAATGATCAGAGTTATTAAAAGAACCCATCATGCATGCATAATGCAGTAGTGAGTACTAAAAGGGTTTGAGGTATTTTGTGACTATTTCCTGCATGACTGACTGCATTTGGAGTGAAGCCACTGTGATTCATGTTCCATGTAGAAATTTTATCATTGTTCTGTTGACACTGTGAGTTCCCAACTCACATGTTGCTTTCTTATTATACATTTCCTAAGAGTGATCTCTTACAAATTTATGCTTACCTTCTCCCCAGTTGCCTTATTACATGCCACCCCAGATGGGGAAGGAGCTGGTGCTCTTGAGTTGATTCCGACTCATAGCAGCCCTGTAGGACAGAGTAGAACTGCCTCTAGGGTTCCCAAGGCTGTCATTCTTTATGGAAGCAGAACACCTCATCTTTCTCCCGCAGAGCAGCTGGTGGGTTAGAACTGCTGACCTTTCAGTTAGCAGCCGAGCACTTAACCACTGTACCAGCAGGGCTCCTTTGAGACAGGAATAGGAAGGTAGAAAGTTGAAGAAGGCAGCAAAGTGAGTTCCCTTCACTATGTGTGTATAGGAGGAGGGGAGGATTGGTAAAAGCAGGAGCCATGCTCACTACTTCTAGGACATTTCGGGAGAGGGCCTGCCACATAAACTCAGTCTAAGCAGGAGCTGCACCCTTCGAAAATCAAAACAGGGAAAGAAGTATCATACAGGGTATGTGACACAGAAACTTCAGGAAGCAAAAGGTCACGGAGCTCCTGTGGGAAAGATTTCAGATCCATAGTATGCTGCTGAAGTTTTGTAATTTAAAAATATACAAGAGATAAAAGAGAAAAATCAATGATTTGGGGAAGAAAAAAAAACATGTAGCAAGTACTTGAGTTTTCAAAGTCAATTAGCTTTTAATTGGTATTCATAAAAACACTATTGCAAATCTATGGGAAATGCCAATGGACTTTTGATAACTAAGACGAGAATTTTATATAGAGCTACAGTATTCATAAGAATCATCCCAGCAACTAAAACTTCCTCCAAGGATATCTTCACTACCCCCCCACCTTTAAAGAATCTGACCCCCCATTCAGCTCCAAACTGCCTGAGTTCTAAGATGCGCAGCAAATATTTTGAAGCAAGTTAATTAAGGTCACATATTCTAAAGACCTCCTATCTGCCTGCCTCTCTCTCTCTCTCACCTGTCTTTTATTCTTTTATACTCTGTAGACTCCCCAAAAGCATTTTTTCTAGTAACAAAGAATCTGAGCTACTATGTTCAGTCCCATGAGGACTGATGAATTACCAAGCATGTGACAGGTGCTCTGCTGGACTCTGGGGCAATCAAAAAGGATGAGACAGTTAGCAAATAAACTACAGAACCCTATACTTGTTAGCAAGGAATTTAACAAGGAATGAAATCTCCTAATAGAGAAGAACAACTGTCCAAGCAACTCTAGGTGTGTCTACTTCCTGGAAATATAACAGTCCGTTCACCAAGCATAGATCTCTGACCTCAGCACAGGCAACTCACAGAATTCTCAACCCCAATGTCATTCTATATTCTTTGTCTTAACCAAGATACCTACAGCCCCAAGGACCAGAACAACATCTTTCCCTCCCAAGGCAGGTTGTCACAGAGTCATGCCTTCTCACTTCCTATAGAGCATGTACCAGACCTCCCTACCCTTTCCTTGTGTCCATAAACAAGATGAAATTGCTAGACTGTCATAAACCCTCCTCCATTCCACTTTCTACCTGGGAGATTCACTTCTTCCACAGGGGAGAGTTGTGTGTGGTGATAGATAGCATAACAAGCTTATCCTTCAGCTGAGAGATCTGGCCTCCAAGATGAAAGGGAGGGATATTTTCCATTGCAGGCCCACAGTGCTACAGGAAGGGAGTCCTAACATCCACACAGCAAGAACTGTGTATACGTGATCAGAGGAGGGCAATGTTTTCTCTCAGGCATGCTATAGCAGGGAGGTAGGTCAGGTCCGATAGTAACTCACAACATAGGACATGACAAGTCCATTCATGGAGGCAATAATGATGTGTCATGGAGACATAAGTGAAGGAGCAAATATTTATTTCCCAATTGTTTAAGGAAGGTGTCAAGAAATAAGAGGGGTTTGAACTGGATCTTAAAGAATGAGGAAAACTTCCCTAGCCAGAAATGGGAAAAGGGCAGACTGGGAGAAAACATAAATCACAGAGAATGGACACTACGAGGCATTATTCAGGTGTAGAAAACAGTTCACTAGGATTTGAGTCTAAAGAGCTGAGTTTGCATATACCAGAGCTGTTTCTTATAGGATAACATACTTTATTTTTTGCATATTAACTTACTTTAAGCTTGAATAAAAGCTTGTCCCCATCTTAACTGTTGAATCCTTTTGCTTTTCAGGCCAGAGAAGGGGAAGTAGCCATTATTGATAAAGTTCTAGACAATCCAGACTTGACATCTAAAGAATTCCAACAATGGAAGCAGATGTACCTGGATCTTTTCTTGGATATCTGTCAAAACACCACCTCAAATGACCCATTAAATATTTCCTCTGAAGTAGATGTAATCACTTCCTCTCTAACACATACTCATTCTTACATTGAAACGCATGTGTAAGTGTACTCTACCTTCAGGCCATCTGGTACCTTCTGGTACTTTGAAACAAGTATAAAAGGTAGTTTTTATGTCAACGTGTAGGACACTTGACAAGCTATACTTTAATGTTACTGAACTACCAGTATATGAAACCAACTATATAAGGTCACAATACCACTGTCTTTAATAAGCATTTGTATATTTTATATGCAATTAGTGCTCAGCTTGTGTTTACCATGTGCAAAATAAACTGTCTTTAATGACTTAAAATTAACTTTTGCAAACAATTCTGAAGACAAGTCATCTTCAAGTAGTGAAACCACAAAAAGGCAGTTTTATATCTAAGGTCATCTTTTCTCCCTTTAAGTTAATTTTATATAAATAAGACTTCAAAAGTAAATCACATTTTTTCAGGTGCAGACATCCTTGTGGATGGGAAAGAATTTAAACCTTTTTTATATTTATTAACGTGTTCTAAGAATTTTCTTAAACATTGCACAAAGTTTAATGCTGTAGTTTTATTTTTGTGAAATGTAGATGCACATACAAGAGTCAAAACAGAAAAGCACCGACGTAAGGAAAGTTCAGGTTTCCAATATCCGTCTCAAAAATCTGTTAACTGGCGAAAGCTGGTTAATGGAGACATTATTCCAAATCTGTGAGAACACTTAATGGTGTATCAGGGCAAAGCTTTGTAAGATGTTTTTGTAACTAAGACCAAAATTGAAGATAGAGCTGCTTTATTTTCTTGGTTTAAATCTTCCTTTATTTTTGTAGTGATGAAATGCTAATTATGTACAGAGGAATTTGAGAATGGATTTTGTAAAACAGACTTAACTCACCCAGAAAGGCAGCTAACAGCTTTCAAACTCCAACTCTTAAAAACTACAAGGTATAAACTGAAAGGAATCAACTTTGCAGTTGGCTTCTGATTTTCCCCCAAATCCATTAATTAAACTCACGTTGATTATACTTCAGGCAGGGAAGTAAAATATGTTTAGTTACAGGCTGATGTGTGTTATAATCTAAGAAACAATACTAAAAAAGAAAACCATACTTCTCTCCTAAGGAGCAAAAGGGCGATGGTTACTCAGAGATATGCTACATCAAATCCTATAGGAGAAACAATTCCGAGGCTCTTTCAAGCTTCCTGAATTGTGTACAGAGTGGATGAAGTCTATGAAAACGTCCCCTTCATATCTCTCCATTTACAAACGTCTTGATTTCTAAGTGATCACAGCATGCTAACGACCGTGCTGCTTTTTCGCGTCTGGCTGCGTAACAGTACACGTCACAATTTGCTGTTTTTAAGGAGGAAGGGACCCTCCTTCACTATTCTGTATCCTAAAATCTACTTTTACTCAGCTTTATACTGTACAGCTCAGTGAATGTACTTTCATCATTAACAGTTCAGATACATGCCAGTGAATCTTTTTGCTGTAGAGGAGAAAGTAAGAACTCCACAGCCAGGCTTTTTCTTTGCTTTCGAAACCACCATTGAATCACTATCATTTTGCAGACTTTGCACAACTGTACAGGAGAGTGGCCTTTCTACAGCACATTTTCAGTAATCCTATATTTAGTCAAAATGGATGAGAAATCATGTATTAATGTTTGTATGGAATTTTGGGTCCAGTGTAATATTTTTATCATTTAAAAAAACCTATTTGTAAAAACATTTATTTACTGCATGGGTATTGACGCACATTAAATTTGTGAGATTTTGTATATGTACAAAAAGAAAAAAAAAAAAGAAAAAAACCTCTTGTCCTAAAATGAAGTGTGCTTGTTACAGGTGTTTAGACTTGTTGTTTACTAGCCCAAATGTGTATGTTCACATAATAATATCTGTACCTGATGGACGTGTCATATATACAGTGGCCAGGTCGGGCCCTGTAAACAGCAAGCCGTTGAAGGGAAGACTAGCTCTTGCTACGAAGCAGCTTTTACTTTTGTAAAGTCAGCTCTGTTGTATTAAATGGTAAAAATTAAACTAATGAATTTCAAACGACTCGTGGCTAGCCTAGCATGAAAGAGACCTTTTACCACTATATAGCTGTACATTTTACTGCATTCATTTCAAATCTAGGAGAGAGGCAGCACTGTAAACTGAAGTCAAATAAATTCAGCTCTTAATGAATCCTTATACAGCACCTATTTTATTCATACAAAGTCCTGAACATATTTCTTGTGATCTAATCACACACTCACCATCCTGGCCAGTTATGAGTTCTAACTTTGCCACCGTACAGGTGGTATAAGCCAGAAGAAGCACCTATTCTGTGCATACAAGTATCTTCTCTGAGACCTTGAAAAATCAAGCCGATTTCCCATTTATCCGATACAAACTTTAACATTCTCACCTGCTTCTCTTTCCTTTCTTTGTGATTCTTTTAGGGAAGCAAGCAGGGCAGGGAGGGGACCACAAAAATAAGTTTGTTGGTTGTTTTGTTTGTTTGTTTGTTTTAACAAATATAAAGTATAGCATATCTGCACAATGAACATTTAAAGAGGATGAAAGAATTAAGGTGTTTGGCTTGGTTTAACCTAAGGAGCCTGATTATCATGGCTAAGGGTTGCTTAAATATGAATTAAAACCAATGCGCTGCCTAAAGCCATACCAAAAGCAGACTGGCAATGGGTAATGATTTAAAAAGAAAAATAATCTAGGATACTCTCCACACACACACAAAGTGCTTTCTTACAGAATATTTCCTCTGTTCCACATTTATATCAAACCATCAAAGCAGTACTAGAACCAGGGCTCTGGATCAGAAAATAATAGTTCTCCTTACAATTTCCTGCGGTTTAACCAAGGCACCTTCCCTTCACTATTTATTCAGATAATGCCGTCTTCTAAGACAAAATATAATGGCCTTTATAGGCAATCTTCTGGTTTCGTATATAACCCCTTGTGGCACCTGTGTTGCCTTTATTTTTTTGGCAAAAAAGTAATCATTGGTTAGCACCTTGGTAAAACATTTAAGAGGGAAAACAGGGTCATATTTATTTTAGAAAATCCATCTCTAGCCCAGCATGAGTCTTTCTAGAAATCACCGCCTCATTGAAGGTCATTCATCTGTCCTTCTATTTTCTCTCCTGCCTTCCATTCTCTGCTTAAGGGGAAACGTTCCTCTTTGGCCATGACCTTGTTTGTGTCCTTAACCTTCAGAAACCACTCTGCTCCCAGAGTGCCACTCTCAAGAAAAGCCCATCTGTTGCATGATAAGCCTGGTCCAGCGCGACTGTGTCTTCTGTCGCTGGGAAGACACTGAACTAACCCATTAAGCCCATAACTAAATCTGGTGCCCCTCCGGGTTCTTCCTGTCTCTCCTCATC